AGCTATAGATGCTTTATTAATTGTCTTTATTTTATTTTATTTATTTATTATTATTTTTTTAAACAGTTGAAAGAAACTTTTGAATTTTAGAGGCTGACAGTTTTTTTTTTTTTATTGAAATGAAATGTTTTTAATTCGAATAAGTTTTTTTTAGTTAAATTAACTCTTTCTAAGCTAAATTAAGTGCTTTTTAAATCGACAGGAATTGTAAATAGTGTTTTGAATGAACAGTTTTTTTCTTTTTTTCAAGCGAATTAATTGTAAATAGGATTTTAATAGTTAGCATTGTTGTCAATAAAATTTTTTCATTATTAAGAAAAAAAAATTATTATAATTATTATTATTATTATTTTATTTTATTTTTTTTATAAAAATTACTTTTAATTAATTTTTTCATGTTCCGGCATGTTCCGGAATGTTCCGTGTTCCTGGTTTTATCCACGGTCGGAAATTTCACGTCGTAGTCATGCAGCGACGGCAAAGAAGTGTACAAATAAGCGTGATACACGTGCAAAGGTGTTCTTGTTTGCCGATCTAAACCTATTACTTTTTGCCGTTCTCGTTTCCATCGCCGTCGTTGTTGTTTAAGCTCCCTATTAAAACAACCTCCGTGCAGACGTCTCCTATTTCCTTTTCTGCTTTAACAAATACTTATAATATTTTTTTTGGCGAAAGAGAGAGTACTTAATGGTTTCTGGCAAGAAATAATTTTCTAATTTCCTTGTTGTTAGCCTGCGTGGTGAAGTCTCCATTATCCACATACCTTCACTGATATCCGTCGAAAGAACGTGCAGAATTACGATCGTAAGTAGACGAAGTTTCCCTTTCATGGTCTCAAGGCACACCTTGTCATTGGAACAGTCTGTATTCTACCTCAAGATGTCTATAAAAATAGTGTTAGAAAGGTTAGTGTTAATTGTTGAATCTGTTGAGAGATCATCAGTGAAGATATGCCTGTTAATTCATTAGTGCGCAATATATGTGATATGCAAAAAAATCATGAGATGCATTTCCGTGACTCGCCAATTAAAAGTAGTCAGTGGAAATTGGTTTTAGTCAGTGATAGCCTGTGTTTTTTCAGCCTGCAGTAGTGTTCACGAGGGCTGATAAAAATGTAGATTTCAAATTTTAAAGAATATTTTAGATTCCAGTCGCTATGACTGTGGTTAAAACATTTTGGGATTGGCCAACTTTGCACGAGACAGATGAGTCGAGTCATGTGAAAGTGAGGTAAAGCTCATTTCTACAATTTCCCACATACCTCTTCAGTGACTTTGAATAACAGCTATGAAATTCAGAATTGGTTATACCAGTAATTCCAACAGGTCACAGTTTTTAAAGCATTTTTTAAAGCACTCTTCCGCATTCGATGGAGGGTCTACGCGCTAATGAAACCCATGTTGTCTTGGCTTTATGGTAATGAATTATCATCGTTTAGATCTAATAACATTGTCATTGTTATTAGGTTTTATGTGGTCTACTAACCTCATTATGTGGCACCACAAGACTAACAAAATCGATTCTTCATTGTGTTTGTGATGGCAGATGATTAAGAGCTAGGCGCTCTCTCTTTCCATCACAACTCAAAGATCTCGAATATGAGAATATGAGAAACTATAATTTAGTCGTAGAACTTTGTCTACTAACAAGAGAGAATGAGCTGATTCTGTATTGCCACGAGCAAGGGCCGGGCTGAAAATAGCGGACTTAATTAACGCGCTGGAAATGAACTCAAATTTAAATGACTACGGAACAGAGGGCTTGTTGCAAGTTGTTTGCAAAACACGATTTAGTCTTACTTCCTTCTCTCAAAACATTAAATGGTACAATTATCTGCATACTTAGCTAACACAAAACAACGAAAACCCTATCAAAATGTAAAACGCCTTTAAGGCAGCGCTAACACTTTTGCCACGATTAGCGTTTACCATCTAATATCTTGAGAAAAGGAGGTTCATAGGTGCATTCATGATTATATGGTTGACCCCAGGGCTTTTTGCATACATTTATGATGATCAATCACAAGTTTCGATTGAAAATCTACGCTGGAGAGATAAACAAGAACTAAAGACGCTAAAGACGAAAATCATTGGTTAGACGTTGCTGCCAACGGAAAAAAACTTAAATTTCTTCAGTGTAACCCCGCTATAACGAAGACCCCGTTATAACGAAAAACATCTGAGGCCACGGCAGAATTACTGTAAAATATGCGGAAACGAACCCCGATATAACGAATAGATCTTTAGATCTTGACGTTCCCGAAGCACAATTTACCCCGCTGTAACGAGTATTTTTTCCGGTCGCTCGCAGCAGTCAGTAAAAACAACAGATTTGAGTAGAAATTACAGCTTGCTTTAACTGAAAGTGCTTTTGAAAATGATTTCTTGATTGTCAGCGCTTTACACATACAATTTACAGTATCAAAGGAATAAAAATAATGTTTGGACTTTTGCTGTTAAGCAGATAATTCGTCATAACTGAGTCTTCGCTATAACGAAGACCCCGCTACGACGAAGACTTTTTTCGGCACTGTGACACTTCGTTATAGCGGGCTTCCATTGTAAAGAGAGCGTTTAAATTTATATCACTTGCCTCCCTTTGTCTATGATAGATAGAGATAGATAGATAGTTTATTCATGCATTTTTTATAAAACTTTACAAAATCATACCCTCCTTCAACAATGAATGGGAGTCCAAGGGATGGGTGTCTAACAGGGAGTGTAACATATTTTCATACTGGTCAACAAAGAATAATGTAAAGTTATCTGACTTGGTGGTTTCATTACCAGAGAGGAATTTGCGACAACATCACAGAAAGAGTAAAAGTCAAGAGCGAAGTTTGCGGTACTTGACTACTTTCTTCTCAGATCGCGGTTCTGAACATGCCAATTGACTTTAACAGCAGAATGGTCCGAGAGCACTGGATCTGAAAAACTGAAACGCCGCCAATGAACGTATCATCAGATTTAGGAATCAGAGGATCGAGCATTAACGTGGACAGATTCAGTAATCCACTGTTTCAAATTATGAGATTCCAAAATATCCAGAACCCTTCTAACATGCCAATTCGTATCATCATCGATGTGAAAATTGAAATTTCCAACAACCAGCTGGGAAGACGTCCAGGTGAATCAGCTATCCACTCCGGCAATGGGATTTAAAAATTATTCAAAGAATAATCAAATCAAATAATGAGTGATTCGGCGATCCATAGACCACAAGACTTCTAATGCTTGAAAATCACGAAACTGAGCATCCATAGATTGAATGTGATTGTGATTATACAAACTTTCGTTGAACAACAATGCAACACCGCCACCAACAACAACTGTCCTCGGAACATGAAGAAACAGGTAGACTACGAGCAGTCTCTCTCTTTTGTTGGTCCGTCCAGCAAAACGCCCGAGAAACGCAAATGACCACGTGCGTGACTGAAGGCACGAGACGGGAGAGGCACGACAAAAGATTTTCTTCTCACGCTGCCGCCCTCGTTTCTCGCGTCTCGCGGCGAAGCCGCTCAACGCTGGCGAGCGCGTGCACTCCCATCACCAAATCTGAAGAAAAAGAGAGGCTGCTCGCAGTCTAAGAAACAGGTAGCCAGAGGGACATACACTGCCAATATCTATTTTATCAATGTCAATGCGGGTGAGGTGCAAATAAACGGGGGATCTTATACCCATCGACAAAAGTATCGCGAATGAAACGAGAAGTACCTATATATGCTCCCAAAAGGCTATATTACGATTAAGACTACCTTTAACCTTAACAATAGGCACTCCCTTCCGATATTCGGGATTTATTACATCATTAGATAAAACAGACACATCAACAAAGTTCTCGACAGGTTCCAATGGATCAAAGTTATTTAAACGTGTATACTCATCTTTCCCCAGTCTCTGAAATGCAATCTAGCATTTGTCGTCTGCAGTTTGCGGTCTTGCTGCCTGAAGGGACTGCAACGGTTCCCCTGAGGCGGCTGGGGAAGTAAGTTGAATTTGCCCGATGACCTCTCTAACCACAACTGAAGCACTTGTCCGAAGGTTGAGGTGGACGCTCACGAAAGTACTGCCCACGAAAAAGCTGCTGATTATCAGAAAGAGTACTGGAAGGCCCAGCAGAAGAAACTTCACTCGATGGCTGACGGGTACTTGTATAGCTACAATTGTAGATCGGGCAGACGAATTCCTACGCTTCTTCCCGCGGATCTTGGCCTGAATACCCGTCTTTCGGCTGAACAAAGCCTTTTTTTCATCCCGCTCAGAATCCTCCGCCAGCTCATCTAACGGTCCAGCCTGCGGGACTCTTATCCGCAAAACGAATAAGCTTGTTTCGTTTTGTAACAAGTGTCTTTACTGATTCAAGTTCGGAAATCGCTGCTGAAAGGTTTCCTTTTGAGATGTTCTTAATTAATGGCCCCGTCCACTAAGTCGTGTAAAGAGATGTTAAGTTCGCACTGTACTTTGTTTCCCTTGAAAGCAAAGAAATTTGAAGCTTTCGATTCGGTTTACAGCTTCTTAAGCTGCGATTACGTGGCATCTTCTTTGTCCTCGAGATCGCGCTTAAAGGCAGCGAACTTTTGATCAAATTTGACGTCCAAAGGTTTGGAAAATGACTGCAAAGTTTCAGCTTTGATAAAGACGTATCCGAGGAAAGAGCGGTCGGTTGAATAGAGTCTCCGGCGTTGTGAGTTTCCAAAGACGCGTGAGGAACGCTCGCTGTTTCAGAAACCGACATGGCATAAAAATTCAGGGTTGAAAGAGATGCCTCGAACGGCTCTTGCATAGCTTAACAAACCTTAATAATGTACTAGCCCCTTGAGACACCTTACAAGCACACCTTAAATATTTCTGCAGTATTAAGCAACCTAATATACATACTCTTGTGAAACTAACAAAACGTTACAAAATATATTTCATTTCACCTTTTCCATGAAGGTAAAAATCTTTAATTTCCTCACAAATTTACTTTAAGTTAACCTGAAATGCTAAAATAAAACAGTTGTGCAAGACAGCGCCAACGCCAACATCAACTAATCTCTGCTATTTTCCTTCTGTCCCAGTCTTTTGCTTATACCAGGTGTTCCCGCAAAATCCAAAGTGAACTTTCGAGTGGCTTCTTCTTGGTCGTGCGATGGTCTCAAGCTTGGAGTTGCAGCACGGTGGACTGACTCCCCAACAGATGAGTCAAAAACGTGAAACTCTCCTGACGAACAACAACATTAGATCAATAACAGAAACCCATAATGCTCATAGGCAAGGAATAAGGATGCCCCATATTATGCCAGTTAAAGTTTAAAAAGTAGAATATAATTTGTTTTGTTTTTTTTTTCACTTTTTTTTCTTTCATGCGAGATAAACGAATGCAGAAAAGCAACGACTTGAACGGCTAACGTTATCGTAACAGCTTAACGGAGGTGTGACGACTAATATCGGGTGATCAGTTAAGGGTTTTGTCATCTCTGGGCCACAGGTTTGGGGACCAGTATAACATACAATATGTGTTGTACTCTTTGATTCACCTAAACTGTAATATACAGGGAATTTGACAATGTCAGCTCCATAGCACCACATACAAAACCGTTGAGAGAAGCATTTTAGAAAGAATACTTGTCAATCAATCTGTAGGACATCGAAGAACCTCTTCCAAACATGCGGTTGGATGATGACTACGTTCTCAGCACTTTCCAGAACTAAATACTTTAATTAGAGGTATCGAAAAAACTTGCCTTCGTTAAACAAGGTAAAGTCATTTAAAGTTAAAAGAGGAAAGGGAGTTAGGCTCAGAAACATTTGTCGAGAATGTGGAGAAGGGTTACGTCATTTTTCTGGCTGGTTTTACTTGACATAATACATAAACTACACATACATGAATAACAGACACCAATAGTGTTCTTTAAAAATACAAAGTATTGAAAATGAAGCGTTTGGTGTGGAAATGCTACCAGCAGAGAACATTAAACATTTTAATAAATTAACGACTGCTACAGAACTCTCCTCCAGGAAACTAGCTTTCAGATACATACAAGAAGTGTGTACGTACTTTCTGCTGGATATCTGATATCAGCTGCACTTGCTGTACGTCGAATTAAATCTACGGAAAATGCACCTCGAGTTTTAGTTCTTGGAGGTTATTGTATTAAGAACATTTGATTCTAGTAAAACACATAATTATCGCTTGCTGGTGAGGACACCTAAGGTCGCTAAAAAGCTGCATCCAAAAAGGTAACAATGGTCCTTTCCACCAATAATGTACAATTATTTTCTTTACGATAAATTGTTCGTTTTTTGTTGCCCAGAATGAATAAACTCGAACGCGATTTCTTGTTTCGCAGATATTATCACTTGTTTGCCCCTTGAGAAACCACGTGACTTTACTTTAATCCCACTAGTCCTTGAGCGCGTGAAGAGACATCGTAAATGAGGTGGGCCGCTCCCAGACATGTGTTCATCAGATTCAAGTTTAAACTATGCAGTTTTATAGATATTCAAGTTAAAGCTTAAATTACGTGACGTTGCCTCCTTTAATTAAAGGATTCTGCAAATCTGAAAGAGTTTTACCTGCACCAGTTCCAAGAGGTATCTCAAATATGTGCTTCATTTGTCCTCCGGTCCCTCTTGACTCCAAGAAGTGTTCGTCACGTCCCTCCAACACGGAAGGCGTTATGCTTTTTCTGAGGGGAAAAAAGTACACTCAAGTTATCACAAATATCTGTGTTAATTCGCCATAAGTTCTTCGTCTGGCAGAATCCCGCCAACATGTAGAGGAAATCTTCTGCCAAAGTACAATATTTAACCGCCAAGCCATCCACCTGATCACGAGTCCCAGATTGTTTTGAAAACTTTTAGCCCACCATACGTTCTATTCGTCAAGTTGTAAGAACTCGTAAGAATCAAATGAATAAACCACTCAGGAACACCCAACGACGCTTTCCTCCACAATACAATGAAAACACCTTTTAGGCTATCCAAAGTAATTTTACATGTAGATCGCTAGAAATGCATTCTAAGGTGCGCTATAAAATTTGCACCTGTTCGGTCATCCTCGGGGAACTTCAGTCTTTTGGAAATTACAAGGGCTCGAGTATTATTTTTCCGACAATTTTAGATGCAATTTGACCTGTTACGAAAGTGAGGCATTTTCTTATTCCTCTCTCCATCGCATCGCTGTCCTCACGAGTAATAGAAAATTCTAGGCAATATTTGCTTCTCGGAACAGATATTTTACAGAAAACAGTCGTTGGGTACCCCTGACAACTATTGTTTTCAGTCAACGAAAATAACAGAATTCTAGCTGTTTGTCACCTTTAACCTTGTCTGGGTGTAGTGATCGTTTATTGGGTTTCCTGTGCCCTTGCTTGTAATGGATTGTGGGAATTGTGTGAATATATGGCGGACTGAAAATGTGCGTTCTTTTTCTGAGAGTGTAATCCGTAACCATCTAGGACCACTCTGACGTGCAGACACTACACCGGATACACTAAGCCTTCACAATAACCTGAAGACTGAATGTTGCGTCATTTAGAATTGTACTATTTCTTTTAGAAAAACCTTGTCTCTAACCAGTTACTTACCTCCTAAGAGAGTCGTACATCCCCTGTGTTTGTAGTAAAAAGAAACAAATTTTTGTTTGAGGTTTTGCTGTTATTAATTCAAAAAATTTAAGGAAGTATCTTCACAAATTTAGGAGCCCAACAAATTCAAGGACTCACTAACAAATTCCAAACACCATATCAAACGTATCTGCTTACTTTACGAGTCTAGATTGCAAATGATAAAATAAGACGATAGTACAAAAAGGAAACATAAAACGGAAGCCTTAGTTGTCCTCTAAGGAATGGTTTTGAATACAAAGAAGCCATACTCGCTGTAAATACATTTATTGACCACCCTGCCCTAACAGATTAGGACGACTACTTTGCCAAAGAACATGAAATTGCCATACGCAGAAGGCGCTTGTGCTAGAACGGGGTAGATTCACGGATACTTTTAGCCATCATGAAAAGCTTAAAGAAATTTTAGAACATTTAGACGCACCTGCAGCTTGAGATACTGTCTATTCTTTTCCATTAGCTTTTCTGACAGTTCATTACATCGCTTTTTTGCGTCGTCCAAATCCTTCTTGTCAGCTGTCATAAGCAAAACATGCAAGTAAATGGCTGCAAATATTATTTATAATAATAATAATAATAATAATAATAATAATAATAATAATAATAATAATAATAATAATATTAATTCAACTGACACGCAATAATCAGTCTTTAAAGAGCCCTTTGTACCATCAAGAAATAGTAGGAAGATTTGGAAACCTTTTTCAAGAACTAATATTTTAAAATTCTCTTTCTGGCATAGATATATAGATAAATGGAACTCGTTACCAGATTCTCTAATATGTGCCGATTCATTGTCAAAATTTAAAAAGGGCTTAAGAGAACACTTTTTAAACTAGTAAGTAATGAACATTTCGGTCTGTTTTCCCCTTGCCTGATAAAAGATTTATTTGCGCATAAGGATTCCAAACGGGCACTGTTTTCAAAATAATATAAACTTGTCGATGAAAATAAAATTGTTATGAGAGACGATGTTTGCACGCGCTCCCCCTGCTTTGCCGGTAACAAAGTCCATCAAATATATAAACACTTCTAATGGACGAATTTTTTTTTAGTCAAGCAAATCCAGGTATGAACTACAGATCTCTTTCACTATGAGATAAAAACATACATATAAACCAAACAGTCCATAAAATCTTATGAGAAGCAGGAAATTAGTCGCCGCTCAAAGTCGGCTAAATCGCACGATCGTCTCCGAATCGCGATAAACTTCTTGAAATTGCCTTATGAAACCAATAGCAAGCATCTAAGGCCACTATGAGATCTTGAAAATTCTCGAAATTGCTCTCTTCCGTAATGTTTTTTGGGAAAAGGCAGCAGTGTTTTGATCCCTGGGTTTGATTCATTTCTCTTACGAGATGCGAACTCGACCGAGTCACGATTGAAATGAGGCACAGTAACAGTTTTACCCATGAACCTTTGTGGGTCGTGACGCACACCGCCTGGCCAGTAATAGTGCCGCCAATGGCTTTCAATACTTACTTGACGCTTGCGATTTTAATGCTGTTGAAATTATTAAGTGCAGTTAAGGAACCACTGATTTTTCAAGGATGGAACAATATCAAGAGTTCTCTTGAACAATACGTTGTGTTAGATAAATAGAGATACAGTCGACTCCCGGTAACTCGAACCCTCTATAGCTCGAGCCTCCCGTCAACTCGAAGTAATTTTCATTTCCCTTCAGATCATTTTCCATATAATTTTACCCACGATAACTCGAACTCCCGACAACTCGAACTTTTTTCTATTTCCCTTGAAGGTTCGAATTATCAGGAATCGACTGTATAACTGAAACAGGGTGTCCAGCAGCATGGTTGCTCAAAAAAACAGGAAAATAGGAAACTCAGGATTGAGAAAATAGGAAAAATAGGAAACTTTGTATTGAAAAATAGGAGAAAAATAGGAAAATCAATAGTACTTTTGTGGACAAAGATAAGCTCCCTGCACCCCATCAGGGTTACAATAAAGGCCAAGAGTCCTCAGATTCTACGTTCGCAGGATTGAGATCAACTTTTGCGGCTAAGAAGGGGTGAAAATGATTAGTAACATTTAGTTTACTGCCTCAGTTATGCTGTAATGAGAATGATGTGCTTGACTACAGGTCGAGCGTGGTTTCGTAATCAAAGGTGATCATATGCAAATTCCCTTCAAGTTGGCGGCAAATCTTTGAAATCTTTGAAAAGCTTTGAAGAGTGAAATTTCTTAGGATAGAAATTTCTTACGATTGAGTTGTCATTGAAGTATATCGAACTAGGACGTAAAAGTCCTATGGAAAGCTTTCCTTCCATTAATCTGCAATCAGTAGATTGTTGAGAATATGCTTGTTTAAGTCAAAAGACCGCATAATTTTAAGTACGGAACCAGGCTTTCTGCAGCGTACGCAAAATGACACTGATCTATTTGGTACCAGATTGTGAGCTTGTCATGGTTAGGTTCTAAGAAGAACATAACACTCTGCTTAGCTATGACTGCAAGACTGGTTTTGCAACCAAAATATTGGATCCTTCATCAGTAATGCTTAGGTATAGCTGTTAACAAGGGCTCAGCAAGAGAGCTAGTGCCTTAAACTACATTTTGTAAACTGTAGTCTGTTCTTTTCATGTAGCATCCAGAATCAGCTAGTGATCAAGATTGGCTTCTTAAACAAGAGGCTGATTGGATGATTTATCGGGCCTGTGTTGTGAGACGACAACTTGATCATGTTTCCAGTTTCAGAGATGAACATAAAAGCGAGCAAGACTTCAAAATAAAATAGAACATGTACAGAAACTGAAATGCAGTTTCAGTGGGCTATACACAATATTATTCAATAGCCAGGAGGAGAACTATAACACTACATACATTACATGTACATGTACGTGCACTAGAAAATTATACAAAAACTAACGATAAAACGAAAATGTCAACAGAACTCTAACAGGCAATAGAGGTCACGGAAAGAACAAACATAACTGTTATTTTTACTAATATTAGAACATCAAAGTCAACATACTACTTAATTTATAATATATCTCACTCAAAAACACATACAGTTATAATTCCATTTTCAATTTTGTTACAAATTTTGCCTTCACCAGCTAAAAAAATACGAAAAATAGGAGGTTTTAGTTTAAAAATAGGAGAAAATAGGAATAGGCTCAAAAAATAGGAAAAAATAGGAACTGGACACCCTGCTGAAAGAGTAGACTTGCCAAAAGTCGACTGCAAGAGTGCCGAAGGCGCGCGCAAAAGCGAGCGATGTAAGTAACCAACAGAAACCGATATAAGGCTGTAAGAAAGTCTTCTGAAAGAGTGCAATTCCGTAACTTTATCATGAAAAAGGAAACTAGAAATTTCCATTGGATAATTAAATTGTCTGTGCCATTCCGTTTGTTGTCGAACAATATTTCCCAATTATTTCAATTCTTAACTTTTGCTTGCAAGCAAAGGCGATAACAAGCTTAAAGGACTGAATCATAACTAAACTTCCCCTTCGCTGTGAAATCTTTTGGTTGTACAACTGCTTCAAGCAGACCCTAAATTTTTGGCCAGGAGTCTATTTACTTGTTAAAATAACAAGCAAAAAGAGAAAAATGACGCTGGACAGATTTAAGCCAAGGAATCTTCGGCGATTTTTTTTCCATAAAGTTGTCAAATGATCATGTAGACAGTTTTCATTTTATTTCTTGATACTACACTTTCCGCTTTCACCGGCATACCCTAAAAAACCGCCTCTTTGATATCTGCCCTGGTATTCTTTTTCACGGCCAGCTTATTTAGCTTCGCGCATTCTAGGTGCAGCCATTACTTGTGGCACTCCAATTTGGTCCTATCTGGTTACTAAAGGCAACAATAAACCTAAAACCTCTAGCTTACAAACAATAGGCATGAAACGGCAAAACAGACTGGGTCCAATTGTTCGAAGGCCGATTAGCGCTTATCCCGGCGTTAAATTTATCCCTGGTATCCTTTTCTTGTGTTCAAAAGCATTTTCTCGGATAATTTTCTCTGTTATTTTAAGAGATCCCAATCATCAACTTGTAGACAAAAAGAATTAAAACTGAAATGCTTTTTAAGCTTCATATCTGAATTCAAACCTAGCACTAACCCTGGGTTATCTTAACCTACAAGTAGCTTTGAACAACCCGGCCCTGTAATTTAAGGATACAATTGAGTTCTGTTTGCACTTTTGAGAGAACTTGACTGTAGTACTGTTCTAACTGAGTTGTCTTCTCCTTAGCCTTGTTAGCTACATAATCTTGATACATTCTTTCCTGATGTGCCTGCAGGTCAAAGATCAGTAGTATAAATAGTACGTACTGGTTACCACATTGTTTAAGAAACTATTGTAGCTTCGTGACACGAATAAAAATCATAATAAATGATAATAATAATAATAGTAATAATAATAATATTATTATTATTAACATCAATAAATAATAAAACCAAACACAAGACAACAAAACAAAACAATGCACCCCAAAGCAACCTGCTTACTAATCACCCTTACTAATTAGGCTGTATTTCAGTAATTCATCTTCCTTACTTGGTATGTCCAGAATGCCAGAGCCCTCGAGCAAATCTCCATTATAACTTCAGGTTTTTGACCAGCCAGTACCATCTACAAAATAATTAAAGGAACTCGCAGCTTTATCAAATTCAGTTGCAGGGCCAAGTACATGCACATGTACATATACATTTCGTACCATTCACTCAAAAGCTTAAATACAACCCTGCCTAAGCTCAAGAAATACACTTATCACAACTATTCCCTCCTATTCTTATCCGAAGGACGTGAGCACTGACGCAAGTGTCAAGGCTGGACGCGCGCTTCGAGCTCTTTTCTTCATTGTTAGGTTCTTGCCCTGCCTCTAAAGTAACGCGTGATGAAGCCCTAAGAACGCCCGGGTGAGGCTAAGTTCTCGTCCGTTTGCGTGGAAAAAATAATATTAAAAGCTGTGAGATATCCACAAAACCAACTGCAACACTATCACTGCGCCTTCGTTCCTATCTAGCATCTGACATGCGATGAGATTTTACGAGTTTACAGTAATGATGCGTGCTCAAAGATACAGGTCAGGAAAAGGATGTAAATATGAAGCAAGGAGGAAGAATACCAGTACCCAAACGGTGGACTTAATTCAAAATTTTTTTGTAGAAAGTCTGGGGAAAAGTCATTAAGAATAGTTGACCTTTTACCGTGGATCTATTTTCGTTTATACCAGGCTTTAGGTTGTCAGGAAATGGTATTAGATGTTCGTAGGCCGCCTACGATATCCCTACCTCTATTTCTACCTCAACAAGTACCTCTATGCTAATGATGTATTTGTTAAGGACTGCAGAAGCATTAGAATTATTTTTAACAATTTTTTTATTTTTGTTACTTAACTTTTTACCAATTCTTGGCAGGATAGAGTCCCTCCCCTACTCTTTACGAACAGTGTGTGTGTTATTTAACATCGCACATAACAGATATGTGTAAGTATTCACCGGGTCTTAGGATACCCTGCGAGCAGAGGCTACATTTTCGCTGTGTGAAATAGCATGCGAAAAGTAGCGCAACCCAGCTCATACCTCGAAAATGTAGCCTCTGCTTACAGGACTATATCCAAGAGGACTAGAAGGTCTAACTGTTTGCTGATGTCTTTACAAAGGCAGCACTTTCTCCTCAGTTATTTTACAGACCCCAAGTGTTGCTCCTGCCGGGATTTGATTCAAGGGCCTCCTGCTTATACAGTTGCGCCAACCAGGCGTTGGTTAAACTTTTATAAACTTTTCATACTTTGTAGAGTTATATAGAAGAAAAAAGTCTCTTCAGTCAACACAGAAAGTCGTACTAGTCAAGAAATCACAGACTTACTGATTTAAATTGCTCTGAAGCTTGCAGATCAACCCGAATGACATCAAATTTGGCAGAGAGGTTGGTCTCACCTGGTAATAAAAAAAATATGAACAAGGCAGTTTTAATTCAGGGGCAATACAATGGTGTACTCATCATTTTACTAAACAAGACTTACATGCAGGACACACAAGCTTCTTGTTAAACTCTCTTGTTCCATCCTCATCACAGAAAATATCTTTTCATGTTGTCAAGGATATAGAACAGTGTATTATATTAATTTCAAACCCCTACCCTAACTCCTGATTCCTAGTTTTACTTGCAACTTTTCATTTTAAACTGGTTAACTCTTTTCTACCCAGTTCAAGATAATTTCTATTGTATGGGCTTAAAACAGATTTAAAAATTATTTTCTTAAATAAAGATTCATTCCTTTTATTTTGTCCCATATTTTCTCAAAAATTAAACAGTCTTGACTTTTACGTTGAAATTGACCAGTAGACTTAGTTCCATCAACCTGCAGTTAGCCCAGTCGTGCTATTCTTTTTTAGGTCAGTATTTTGATTATTTTAAATGACATAATATGGGTTGCAAAACTACTAAAAACCCACTAGGGACTGAAACAACTATTTGAAATAAACACAACACTGATAAGAATCCCAACTGGCCAGAGGCAAACCAGTTGGCTATTTACAAGCATTGTCAAGAAGAAGAACAAGGGTCTACCAAGGACAAATCCAGCAATCAATTAGAGTGGGAGTTGAACTCATGGCCTCCAGATTGCAACTGCAGTGCTCTAACCACTCAGCCACTCTGCTTCCTTTTTCTTAAAAATTATTGACCTCATATCATAGCTTTATAATTTTAACACAAATATATACATGTTTGAGTGGTTTATTTACAACCATGCCCTTTTGTCCCTTTTGCTCAGCATTTTCTGGGCCTGGCATTTAAATTGCAGGTAGCAAACTTTGGTCTTAAAGTGCTCCTAACAGATAAGCAATATTATCACCCACACAGATATCACCAAAGAAATATCTATATAAACCAAAGCAAGCATTGTCATACTGTGTTGCAGACAGGCCATTTGATGTCAAGATCATTAATACATTGACTGTAGCTCTTATTTAATTGTCTGTTTTAGAACAGTTTCTTCGAGAGGTCAAATACCTGTAAGGCCTGCACATGCCACACCCAGAATGGTTTTTCTTTTTGGCTTTAATTCTAATTTTCGGATGAGCAACCATAACTCTGTCATGTGGGAGACCCCCTGGAAAACCGGCTTGATTAGCTTATATTATTTGCCTGTGCTGTGGGCTAACTTGTTTATAACCTGCCAGGGTGCAAAGAAAGTCCGTTTTACAGCCTGCCATTTGAGCAAGCTGTAGCTAGTATGTACTAGGCCACAAGTCATTTCAACTAGCCCCCAAACCCTTTTTGATTAGCAGGATTGATTACAATCCTTCTGTAATTTGAATTTCCCCCAAAAAACAGCACTTGCTTGTTCGGGCAAGTTAAGAACAAAAATCACTAGCCCGATAGCAAAATCCACTAGCCCCGGGCTATCGGACATAACTTTCTTTGCACACTAGGGGTTCTGTCTAGCTTGTGGTATGCATGCCTCATTAAGCTGGAAATCAACAGACATGGATACAACTTTTTCAGCATTATATAAATATGGATATAAAACAAGAGGGGTGTAGTATCAACATTCATTCATTTTTTTAGCATGGTCAACTAACTCTAGCCTGCACACAGAATTCATGGTGAAAGGAATTCCATTTGAGAGGTTTTCTAAAATTAAAAAAGGATACGAGAGCATGAGGTAACCTAAAGAATGAAGACAAAGTTTCAAACTGTTAAAAGTTGGAAAATACAAAGCTATTTGACAATTGCTACTGTTAATTCCAGAGTCTTGATAAATGGCAGTCCTTCTGTGTTACGAACTGAATTAAGGAAACATGCCAATATTATCAATTTTTATTCCAGTAATACTTTTTGCACATGAAAGGACTGTAACATCAGCACAAACTCTTGGGATAATTGACATTTTTCCAATCAATTAGCAATTTAAACCCTTAGCTTCTCAAAGTAGGGAAATTTCACAAACGTCTCTAAATTTTTGTGACTCTTCAAAGCCATATCTGAATTAATTCCCAACACATTTTCTAAAACTTGGTACCCACAAATTCACTGCCTTAAAAATGCTCTTTTTGATAGAGGCCCACTAATATTAAACTTTTTTATGTAAAATGACGACTTGCAAAAACCTACTATTTTATTCAAGATATTATTATAAACATTAAAAACAAAACAGCAAAGGCTAAAGCAACTTGAGATTTCCCGATATAAAAAAAGTGGTCTGGGCTATTTAAGCTGAATTCTTACCCAAGCATACGTGTTGAGCCTTTTTCTACATTTCCTGAAGTTGCAGAGAAGGTCATTATCCATCTTTACTGAGGGCAACTTTGCAATCAGCCCTTCATCTCGTTATCTCACTATCAATGACATAAGCTAAGCTTTAGAACTGTGAATCGTAACAAAAGTAGTTGCCGGATGTTTGGTGAAGAGTGTTGCAAATATGCAAAAGTCCTTTTAAATTAGCAGTCCAAAAGGATTTCTTTAATAGTCATGATAAATACACACTTTAATAACATCAACCACGTTATGGCTTACAGGTTGTTGAGACGAGCTTTTCTATAACTAAGCTCACTTTCAGTGTTTCTATGTTTTTTTTACTTCGCCATTCCGTTTTTGTCATGAGTTGAACACGTCACTTTATAGTCTGCAAGTCTAGATTCTCCTCTCTGTGTTTACACCTACAAAGGGTCAAAGACGTGACGAACAAAGAATAAATAGAATTATAGTACTAAAGAACAGTACTTACCCTTCCTCACTTTTCCAAAATACTTTCCTTCCGGCGATTTTTATAGCAAATGCGACAAATTTTACCTTCCTCGCCCTTCCTCGAAATTTCGCGGGTAAATGAAGCCTTAGCGCATGCTCAAAGACAAACTCGACTCATGCCCTCTCGGTCACTTTTTTTTTTCCGCTGTTCATAGTTGACGTGGACTCGTTTTTTGTACAAATGATCCTTCTTCGAAGCTTCTTTGTTGCTTCGCTTGCTGGTTATTTGAGGTTTAGCTCAAAACGTGTCTTCATGGCTACGAGTTCCTCACCTGGAGATTATTCTTCTGCTTTCGTGACCTGTCCAAACAAGGATGTCGCGAAGAAAATAGCAAGGTTCGCCTGCACGTCCTGCATCATTTCCCCAGACTGGAATAATTATTATAAAAATTAATGGCTTCGGTGGAGTGTCAGTTGTCGACAGCTATCTGAGTAACTGGGCGACTGTTACTGCCGATAGCGACTTTTCATACATTCCAAATGATAAGAACTAACCGCTCTAGATCTAAGCTTATGCTTAATGAGTTCAAACTTGACTTGACTTGAAACAAAGTTTTTAAGAAGAATGGGATAACCTTTTGGTACTTTGGTCTTCCTAAGCCAGTTGGGCAGTTCTCAGGTCTTGATTGGGCAAAAGATAAGTTCTGTCAATCAGAATTGCTTCTGGAACTGGTTCAGTTACAGCAGCTATATCCAGGAGCCCTACAGTTGCTTCTGTTACCAGAGATATCAATGTTAAGGTGGAGATGGTGGTATGGGCATAGCTTTGCCATTTGAACACTTACTTTGTTCCGTCGCTGGGGTTGCAGACCACAAATTTGCCCCCAAATAGCAGTTTTGTTATCCCCAGAAAGGGATATTTTATCAAATTTGATCTAATTTCAGTCCCAAGGGTCAGGAATTTTACCAAAAAATTGCAAAAAGTTCAAATGCTTCACGTACTGTATGCCTATACATCCACATCCCCCCTCCCCCTCCCTCCCCCTCCATTGTCCGGACATTGATACCTGCATAAAAAGCGCAACAATTTTACCAATAACTGTCCTGTCCTACTTACTTTCCTTTGGGTATTTGAGAGGGCTGCAAGCAATATTTGATTACCTTTTTTCTGTGATCTCGCGGTGAACTCAGGGTTTAACACTGTATCAAAGAGGGGGCTATTTCCCAACCAGAAAAATGATGACTGTGGTAACAAAAATATTAAAGGACTGTGATATATGCAAATAATACAATGCGATCTGTCAACTTAATATATCAGTCATAGTAATACATGTATTTGTAAATGTTAAGGCAATCAATGTTGCTGGTGTTGTTTTTTGTAGTGGACTTGTGGAAAACAAGATTGCTGCTTGTGTGAACATGATTCCTGGAATTACTTCAGTGTAAGTAAGTGTGCTCAAGTTGTAATGTATTATAATGAATTGCTATAAAATGGCCAAATTCCTTTCTAGTCTAGAGCATCTGAGCACTTCAAGAGGCTATCAGAGATTGCTCAGATCAGCACTATTAGATGTTTTGTTGCAAATTTGGTCAAATGTGTCCCTTATGCAGGGTGAGATGACAATGTAAACAATTGCTTCCTTTTCAGGAAAGCTCTTAGTGATGTTTCAATAACTTGGAGAGGTTGTGCAAGCTTTCCAACCCCCTTATTAACCAACATTTACTTTACCTGGCAAATTAATGCAAAAGAACTTTTTACTTCTTTGTTAATGTGTAGCTTGCGTAAAGACATATCCTATTTCCTTTGTTACTTGCAGTAAAGGGACATCTGCATTCTATCAGTTGTTGTGTTCCAGTTTCCCAAGACCTTGCAATCTTAAAAAATCATTTGCATGATCTCTTTCTAAAAAGAAGTAGACAAGGATTAAATCTCTAAAATATTCTCTTTGACAGACCAAAGTTCTGTCTCTTTTATAGTTTTGTAATTTATTCAATATTGAATACCCTGAGAGTGAGGCTGGAACAGGATTAGCAATGGCGTTACGCAGACCTCCCTTTTCCATGTCAAACAAAGGAAAGGAGAAGGAAGGAGATGTCTGTACTTCTCCCCTAAGATCAATTGTAGAATTGAATGAACTTTTAAAGAACGTACAAAAACTCTTACGTTTAATTAACACTCTACCTTGTTATGTAGTTACACTTGGGAAGGAAAGGTGGAAGAAGACAGTGAAGTTTTACTGGTAAGAAAATATTAAAACAGTATAATGTCAAAGCATGATCATTTTAAGAAAATACTGTTTTTGTTGGACTTACTGTTGAATTACTTAATGTGAATGACTATGACTTTGTTACTTTTTTTTATTTATTTATTAAACATCATTCAACAAAACATTNTTGGTCAAATGTGTCCCTTATGCAGGGTGAGATGACAATGTAAACAATTGCTTCCTTTTCAGGAAAGCTCTTAGTGATGTTTCAATAACTTGGAGAGGTTGTGCAAGCTTTCCAACCCCCTTATTAACCAAAATTTACTTTACCTGGCAAATTAATGCAAAAGAACTTTTTACTTCTTTGTTAATGTGTAGCTTGCGTAAAGACATATCCTATTTCCTTTGTTACTTGCAGTAAAGGGACATCTACATTCTGTCAGTTGTTGTGTTCCAGTTTCCCAAGACCTTGCAATCTTACAAAATCATTTGCATGATCTCTTTCTAAAAAGAAGTAGACAAGGATTAAATCTCTAAAATATTCTCTTTGACAGACCAAAGTTCTGTCTCTATTATAGTTTTGTAATTTATTCAAAATTGAATACCCTGAGAGTGAGGCTGGAACAGGATTAGCAATGGTGTTACGCAGACCTCCCTTTTCCATGTCAAACAAAGGAAAGGAGAAGGAAGGAGATGTCTGTACTTCTCCCCTAAGATCAATTGTAGAATTGAATGAACTTTTAAAGAACGTACAAAAACTCTTACGTTTAATTAACACTCTACCTTGTTATGTAGTTACACTTGGGAAGGAAAGGTGGAAGAAGACAGTGAAGTTTTACTGGTAAGAAAATATTAAAACAGTATAATGTCAAAGCATGATCATTTTAAGAAAATACTGTTTTTGTTGGACTTACTGTTGAATTACTTAATGTGAATGACTATGACTTTGTTACTTTTTTTTATTTATTTATTAAACATCATTCAACAAAACATTACAATAAACTTTACAATAACAGGCCGGGCAGCAAAAAAGGAGGCAAAAAAAAACAGTAAAACAAAACAAAAACAAACAAACAAACACTGAAAAAAGTGAAATGCGAAAGTTCAACATGACTTTGTTACTGGCTAATAAATGTCTCACTCCTCAAATGAAGACACAATACTGTGTTACTGAGTGCCTCAGAGCATCAAAAGTTAAAGGGAAGTAAAAATTTATCAGTCACGAGAGCAGAGGAACTCCAGTTGAAAAACATTTGGAGCGTTTGTTGTCTTTTTATGCACCACTGATTTACAATGAAACCACAGCTTTGGTTTATGAGCTGATATAGTAACATGCCATTTCAAAGGGTGTTTGAGATGACTATTTGGTAATTATGGTCCAACTGGTCCTGATGGTGCATTCAAAGAATGTATAGTCATCCTCCCACCTTGTAACAAAAATTACATTACCATGTTTTTACAACCTATCTTCTTGTATACCTTCCTGAATTTAACTGAGATTCGTCAAGTTTCACGTATTATTTATTTATTA